CTTCCTGCAAACCAGAACCAAATTATAAAATATTGTTAATTTTCTTTCATCAATTAATATTCTTCGTGTCTTTATTTTCTATCCTGTTGATTAGAAAAGTAATAAAACATCTAAAACTTAATATTTGATTTTAGCTTATACTATTGTCTGTAGCTTTGCTGAAATATTAAAAATTTCAAGAAAGTTATTCAGATGTTGATTTACATAAAGATGGTCAAATGATAAAGAAGTTTATGAAAAAAATTATTGATAAAAAAGGGCATCTTAAAAATAGATATAATAGAATCAGATGCCATTCTATTTAAATGGATTGTTAAAGATAAATTTAAAGTATTATCTAGATCTTTAAATTCAACATTTCTCTTGAATTTCAATTATGTTTTCTTTTAGAAAAGAATTAATCAAATTAGTGGAAGTGTTGCCAAAACTTTAGTAAAATCTAAATATATCATAACATAAATTAGTCACTTCAAACCTTTTTAAAGTTTAGTAACTTCAGGATCAATTAATAAAATTGTATTGCTAAATGAATCATTAAATCAAAAATAAAATTTCAGTTTATTCAACATTCATTATATTCTGGGTATTATTAAAGTCAAAGAAAGTTATTCTTTAATTCGAATGAACATGTATCTTCGGGGAAATGATAATCATTCATTTGAGAGTCCAAATTAAATTATTTCTAATAATGGAACTGATTAACATTTAGTTTTTTGATCAGAACAAGAAGAAGTCTAATTTAATAAATAAATCTTTAATATTTATAATATTACCTTTAATTTTACTTACATGAATTATCCAAAGTTTATTTATTAAAAGGTTTTACCACAGATAAATTCATACAACAAGTTGGAACAGCTTATTAGTTAAATTGTTAAAAATAGTATAAGTTTGATTTATTGTTTGTAAAATAGCTCTTAAATAGAGGATGATTATTTATTATTTTATGATTGACAGGGTAAATAATTGAATAAAGAAACTATAAAAATCAATAGTGATGAGGGTTTTCTAAAGCCTGTTTAAGAGATAAGCTTATAGAATAAACTTTATATCTCTCATTAAATGTGGGCCTCAAAGTTATTTAAAAAAGTAAAAGGAAAATAAATTAATGAGTTTGATCAATATTTAGTAATTTTAATAATTTCTCATCAACCAATATTTATGTCCTTCATGATTTTCGAAGACTAATCCAAACGCTTTTAAATATAATATTGAATTAATAAATTAATTAGATTAATAAGCTGCTCTCTTTGTAGTCTTCCTTTACTAAATATAATTAAAGAGGAAAAAGAATGTGTTTCTCTCAAAAAGGGCTTAAAATGATCTTCAACCAAAGTTAGTTGTAGTCGAGATTATACATTTTTTTGCTTATTGTTATAATATTGAGCTGAAAGTTTATTTCCATATATTAGGTTGGAAACAGCAATAATTAGTGAGACTTGCTTAGTATTTAATTATTATTCTTCATAACTGATTAATTATTTAAACTTAAACAAGTCTGATTAAATGCAAATACTATATTTACTCTAAAATGTAAGCTATTTATATGCTTAATAGAATAGTTTAAAAATTATTTTATTATTCTAATTTTCTGTTTATTTTGAAACAAATATTATGTATATCTTTAAATAAAAGCAGAATTATTTGTTTAGTTAATTCTTCGTTTTAAATGTAAAGGTCCATGCTTTACGCGCTATAGTCATTGATATTCTAAAATTATAAACTGCAAGAATCATTTCTAAAGTGCAAAACTAACTTATCATAAAATGGAAATTTTTTTTATTAAAGGTCACTATTAAGTTTCTTAAATACTATAAATATTGCCTATTAACAGAGATCTCGAAATTAGTAATTTTATAATATTTTTATCTAATCTCTGAGAGGCTTTATTACATTATTATGATAAATTGGAGATAACACTATTTTTATTTAGCATCTATTAATAATAATATTTAAATACTATAGAATAAGTAATTGTCATTCATTGGTATTCTATGAACAATCTAAGATAATTGTTAAAAATCTTAATGTTTATCTTCTAATTAATAATTTGTAAAGGTCTATAATAACTTAAAGGTTAAGGTTACAATTCTAATAAAATG